GCTTTTTCTTGCTTGTGGTCTTGCTTGTGATGCTTACTTCCAAATACATAAAATGATAATTATGAGAGTTTTCTATTTCACAAAGGCTCTGGGAGGTTAAATTCATTGAAGATTTTGATATGATCCAATAATAGGTTTATACAGACATGCTGGAAAGATAAATCTTGAAAGTTCTTGACACAATCTACCAGACCAAGGGTATCAACCTTGTTATCTCAACACAGCACATTAATAACATTAGAGATACCTTGTTTGTTTGGCAATGTTTGTTGTATAAGAATTGCCACAGATATAGAAATTAAGGAAAGAGCACAATGTAATAACACTTGTGACAACAACATCAATATTTGGTAGCAGCTGAGTGTACACAGTTGTTTTCCCAATATCATTGTTTTGATCTGTTATAATCATAGCCAGTAAATTTATCTAGGTAAGGTAACTGGTGAGGAACATCCAAGTCAGGGTTTTATTGTTTTTATCCTGCATATGATACTGCAGCAGCCCTGCTTTTTTCATTAGCACTTGAAGGAAAGCAAAAGATGAAGGAATGCATGAAGACTTTTTAAACCTCAACCTGTGAAAGCAAAATACAAGGAGATGTGTTTATCAAAAAATGTGTGCCTATCTACAAGCATGTAAGTCTCTAAGGAAACAGAAGCATAAGGAACTGAAACCACAGCTATTAAACAAAGGGAATTTCTCTCTCCCTGTTTTGTATGATGAAGCCTGTTACTTCAGTGGAAGCAAGATTAGAGTCTAGCTATTTTCTTTTGAAGCAAAGGAAATAGTCTCCCCCTCAATTTGAGCCCTGAGCCTCAAAAATGTTTTACTGATATTTTTGGTTAGGATGATATTTTTTATTTAAATCTCCTTTCTTAACATCTTTTCAGTGAGTTTCAAGAGGAGATTTGGATGTCATTAAAATAAAAAACAGTGACAGATGTGGTTGCTACTCAGAATTGTACTGATGGTAGCCCAGTGCAATCTAATTTTTATTATTGGTTGTGATTTCCTACACTATGGTTTTGACATCCAAAAATCAGTGGTAGGAACTTGTGGCTACTCATTATCATGTACAGCTAGGTGCAAGGTGGAAAACCATCAATTATCACATATTAACTTTTAAACAGAAGAAAAGATAAGTTCTTTGTATACTAAGCTGTATCATTCAAGTTACTCAATTATTCAAATTGTTCTATGAGTAAGATGATAGCAAAATCAGGATTACAAGAAGAGTCCTTCTTTATCTTTATTCAGTTAAAAAAAAAGCCAGTAACTCAATGTCCTGAATGTTTCATGCAATGCTGTGATGGTTATCTTCTTTTTCTACAAGGTCTCGTCTCCCAATCCACTTTTTTTTTTTTAAGATTTAACTAATCTATTTTAATTATTTGGGGTAAATGCAGATTCCTGTAAATTACAATTATTTTTTTGACAATTTATTTTGCTGCTAATGCCAAGCTAGCTGTTATTTTAAAATCTTCTTATCTCCTAGACACATACTTTCTCAGGAGATATCACTTCTCTGATCAGGGAAAAGATACTTTACTTGATGTTCACCTTTGTAATGGTCTCTCACCATACTTAGGCTCACTTTTCCCCTCTACATTTGCATCTTCGTTCAAAGCTTATTCAAAGTCCTTTGCATTTGTTTCTGCAGAAATAAAAAAAAAATCTGGCTTTGATATAGCCATAAATAGAAAGGAGTTAAGAAAGATCAGTCTTTACTTCAAATTCAGCCCACTGAAGTCAAAGGGCTAAAAGTGAGCAGCTAATTCTGATCCATTGCATAGTTTTCACTAAATCCTGCCTTTTGAGCAAGCAAGGGCATTTCTTTGAATTCCCAGTGACTATTACAGGAATATAAAACTGTAAATGTCTACCATGAATGGATACATTCAAGACAAAATGTCAGAGCACTGAAGAGAAGCAGATGTCTTTTTATCAGGGATAGCTTTAGAAAGATTAAATCAAATTTACCACAATACCAAAACATGGATGATTCATCAGTGGTCATATGCAGTTCTGAACATGCAATGAAGTACTAAATTATTTTTGCATAATATCTTTAAGTTCCCACAACTCTTTTTTTTTTCTTTTTTTTTTATTTAATTGGCCTTTCTAGGCCAAGAAAAGTAATAAACAAACCAAACGTCAGAAAATTATCATTTTTCTACATTATTAAATTCTCTTATCAAGAAGGAAAAGGTCTTGAGAGCTGAGAAATGTTCCATTTGATTCAAAAATAGAATAATATGGTTTAGATTGAGGAGAAACACTTACAAACAACCCAGCCAAAGTCTTTGAACCATGAAATTGCAATGGTACAACAGTTACCAAGATTTGGCTAATAGTTCTCTAATATGTTTGTATGCTTTTCACATTTACATATTATCTTAGAGTGAATAGAAAAGGTCTAGGGATAACTCTACTTTGTTGTCAGAACTCTTCATCTATTAAATAGTGTGGCTCAATGTCTCTCTAATTATACTGCACTTTTTGTTCTCTCACCGCAGACCAAACTTCTGTAAATTGAATAGGCATGCACTTTTCCATTGTCAAAATTACCCAGAGGGGAATTAGGTTAAAGAATTCCACACACATCACCTAAAATTGTAGAAAGGGGAGTTTTTTATAAGGCATTTTTCCTTGGAAAAATAAATTTGAGCTGCTCAAAATGTAGGGAACACATGTTAGCTGGGCTATGAAATTTGCCCAAAATGCAGTGAGCTTTGTGTTCTGGGCATTACAAATATTGATGCATTAGGTTCTAGGTAAATGAGATAAGACACTTTATCTCTGGCAGTTCTGGGCTACTACAGGACCCCTCCTTACCCAGAGGAATGAGAGGCATTTCTTTCATAAACTTGCCCTCAAATAAACTTTGGGTTGTACCATGCTATCACAACTATTCTATTTACATAAAAATGGAATGCATACATAGTGGGTGAGAAGGTATTAAGATGTATGCATTCATACATCAAGATGAGAATGTATTCACTATTAAGAATATATGAAAGGATACAGTTCCCACACTTTTGTTCATTTTTGGCCCAAGGGAAAAAAAACTTTCCTGCTGTGCAGTTTTTGCAAGATGTAGCATGGCTGCTTGTGCTCCCCTGAGCACTAGTTGAGTCAAACCAGCACAAAGTAGGGCAATATCTCTTCTCCAAAAATGTGTTTGAGTAGCCAAGAGGATGCCTAAACAGTTGTAATATTTCTAAGCTTATGGGCCCAGATACCCCTCTTGACAAGGTATGGAGCCCAAACTGGGATGACACATACGCATGCCTCAGACTCTTCTGTCTTTGTTTTTGGTGCAAAATTCATGTTTCTGGGCCAGAAGGAGCCCTGGGAGTTTGGTGAGTGGCATCTCTAGGGTTTTTTCTGGCAGTAAATCCTCATTGCTCCAGCTAAGGGCAGCCCTGCACACCCCAGTTGTGTCTGCTTTCCCTTGGGTTGCTCTGAGAAAGCTAACTGCGATTCCTCATGCTTTTGTTGAAAATGCCATTAAGAGGGTTGTGAGGTGAATTGCAAGCTGTTGAAAGACCCCTGTGCTGTAAAGGATTTTTGCTTGAAGGTAGTTTTTTATTTAGGAAAAAAAAGCCCAAGTAAACAGCAAACCAAAGGGCATGTGTTGTGGTGCAAGTAAACACACATTAGGCAAATGCACACTAGAAGCACAGCACAAATTATGACTGCTGAGGTTAATTGATTGATAAAATCACTTGTATAGGGAGGGATAAAGTCTGAACTAGGTCTTCCTTGAAAACCCATGCCAACTCATACAGATTAAATTTACTTTGGCCTCTGTTGTGCAGCATATGTTACCATAACCTATTAATTGATGAGTGGATCCCAGAAGGAATTATGGGCTGCTCCTTCCCCCTTTGCAGCAGAATAACACTAGATAATCTATATAATTTTAGCTATGCAGACATACTAAAAAAATCTAAGTAATGATATCTAACACTTTAGACAGCATATAAATATGTAAGAGATATTCAGTAGCACCAAGTGGCTTGGATTATTTGCAAATTATTGGTTGCTCATAATGCAACTTTATATTCTGTTAATCCCACAGTGGCTAGTGGGAATCAACTAGATGTATACTAAAGTGGAAAGAGAGAATGCAAAATGAGTTTTAAACAGCCCTGAGGACTAGGACTTTGGGGTATTGGCTGATAAGAAACTCAGCACAGCCTGGCAATGTGCACTCACAGCCAAAAAAAAAAAACAAACCAAGAAAGAAAACCAAACCTATTGCAAGATGTATCAAAAGCAGAGTGGCCAGCAGGACGAGGGAGGGGATTCTTCCCCTCTGCTCTGCTCTGCTCTGCTCTGCTCTGCTCTGCTCTGCTCTGCTCTGCTCTGGTGAGACCCCACCTGGAGTGCTTCATCAGGCTCCGGGGACCCCAAAACTAAGGACATTGATCTGTTTCAGAGAGTCCAGAGGAGGCCATGAAGATGATCAAAGGGCTGGAGCATGTCTCCTATGAAGACAGACTGAGAGAGCTGTGGTTGTCCAGCACGGAGAAGACTCTGGGTAAACCATACAATGCCTTCCAGTATCTAAAGGGGACGTTCAAGAAAGTTGAGGAATTTTTTACAAGGTCATGGAGTGATAGGACAAGGAGTAATGATGTTAAACTGAAAGAGAGTAGCTTTAGACTAGATTTTAGGGAGAAATTCTATACTCTGAGTGTGGTAAGACACAGCAACAGATTGCCCAGGCAGGTTGCAGATGCCCCCTGGAAGTGTTCAAGTCCAGGCAGAATGAGGCCTTGGGGAACCTGGTCTAGTAGAAGGTGTTCCTGACCCATGGAAGGAGAGTTGGAACTGGATGATCTTTAAAGTCCCTTCCAATCCAGGGAATTCTAGATTTTATGATTCTATGATTCTACAAATCTGTGATAACATCGGATGTTCTGACATGACAGGAGAGAGAGCTTCGCATGGTTTTCAGTTCTGCCTATTTTTTTTTCCTCTTTCTTTTCTAGGTCATCTGTGTGAGACCCTGATGTTGTGAGCAGTCAGGATAACTAGCTAAGAACATAAACTGTGATTAACATGCAAGCAAAGAATAAAAGGGGCTCTTCAGGCAGCAGTTGCCATCACTGGCTGGGTGAGGAGGGCTTCACCTCTTGGTGAGTTTGTCTAGCAGTCGGTCCCACAGGTGGTGTCAACCACAGTTACAAAACTGGGTTAGATAATCTGGAAATTTCCCACCAGTCGTGGTATGCATTGTTCAGATTGCCAGGCAGCAGCCTTAATGTAGCTTGCCCTCTAAATACTTCTATGGACTCCTAATATTAAATAGAACTAACAATGCCTAAAGCTAATATAAAACTGCTTGTGGTGCTGCATTTTTTTCTGCTGTAAGATATTAGGTAGAGAATACTTATTTCTATGAGCAAAAAACAAGTCTTCAAAAATTTACTAGTATTTTAATGACATGCAGTGCTTTTGAGCAAACAGTTATGCACCTGAGTAATCCTAGTCTGGTCTCAATAAAGCTGAGCTAGGACAAGGCTTCATTTTTTTCTCTTCTGTGAATCTATCTAGAACATCAGCCCACAGGGATATAATTCAACCATTTGGTTTCAAGTGATTCTTTCCAGTATGGTGACTTCTTTGTACATAGTTTTTTTTCTTCTGTATATGCCAGGTGTCATCTCTTATTTGGCCCTGAGGATAATGAGCTGAATGCAAGATGGATGACTCACATGGAGCACCATTCAATTTGAAGAACTCCAAGCAAAAAAGAAAGCCTTGAAATGAGAAACCTGAAAATAAATCAGGATGTGTGTATACAACAGATGTTGTATATGTGTGCTGCCTTATGTGATAGCTGGAAAGGGAGATGGGGATCCTTTAAATACACTCATGGCAACAGGACATGAGGCCTAAGGCAAAGTACTAAATGATTTAGCTCAGACACCATTTCGTCAGGGAAAGCCACACAACTACACTGTAGGCCATCTGAGCTGAAACCCTGGGCCTCTGAGCTCTCCAAGCCATTTGGTGTCTCAGAGAGGCCACAGCACTCTGCCTGAGACATCCAAGTCCTTGTGGAACAGCTCTGGCCTTCTCCTTTCTGCTCTCCCTCTGCCCTTGTTAGCCAGGAGCAGTGATGGGACCTCAGCCAAACCTGGGCTGCACAAACATAACCCTTCCCACTGCAACGTTTAGCTTTGGTTTTTATTACCAGGCTTCATTGATAAAAATGAGCCAAGAATTAGAAAAAAAATTTAAAAAATTTAAAAGCTCCCTTTAAAAACTTTTCCTACTTTCATTTTACTTTCAAACTTATTTTTCCAAACAACATGTCCCATATTTGCAGTATTTTTACTGGAGATCTAAATACGCTTTTTCAAGTCCTAGTTTATTTAGTCTCCATACATCCTTCTGAAATAAATAAGAATTGTTTTGCAAATAATTGTAAAAAAACCCTGTAAAGTTGTAAAAACTGAAGCACATAAAGGTTTAGTGACCTATTCAGGCAGAGAAGTGCCTGTCAGAGCCAGGAAGAGTAAGTTCTCTGATTTCAGGTACTCAATCCTAATCAGAACAGCACTCCTCTCTGCACCAAACAAAAAGCAGAAGACAGGTTTGTTTTAGCTGAAAATGTGCTTCTATCTACAGAGAACAGATATCATTTTTCACCATGTTTGAATGATCAAACTATATATTACACACATGCTGTCTCTTCTTTTTCTTCTGACAGTTTTCACAAGAGAGCCCAAAACAAATATATTTAATATAGAAGGCTTTAAAGCAACATAGTCCTGTTTCTTGTGGGAACATTCTATAATGATCACATATACTGGCAGAATACTTTGTATATCTTAAAAGCCAGCAATGAAAAATCCTTAGTTGTTTAGAGTTTTTCAGGGGTTTTTTGGGGTTTTTTTTTTACTGGAAAAGATCCTAAAAAAAAAATAAAATACTATTATTGAAGTAAAAACAGGCACAAATGTGTGACTCACCCACTCATTATCACATCTATATTCACACTCCACACTCTTTCTAAGAGGTTCCCTGAGCAAGGAGGTCATGCATTTGAGTATAGTAGCTGTTAATCAAGCTGATACTACACAGAGAAGCCAGTTTGCTAATTTTACTGGAAGAACAGTATCACTGAAAGATGTGACTTTTTTTCGGGCTGGAAAGAGAAGAACTAAAACACACAAACAATTAAAGTGCAATTATAGTGATTTTAATAAAATAACATTTTATGGGAACTTGCTATTTCAGTTCTATTGCTACAATGAAAACTGGGACAATTCCCTCTATATAGAACTGAGAATTTTCTACTGCCTTGGTATTGCTAAATCAATAAGAGAGACAATTTATTCCTGGAACTGCTACAGATATTTCTGAATGGTAATTTTGTTCCATTTGGGAGAAAGCAGAGTGCACCAAATCTTGTGTATTTCCAATATCCCTGCTGGGGCATAAGACTTAAGGAACTGAACACAGGAGCAAAACACAATTTTTATTTTTTTTTTACTCCACTGCTTTTATTACAATAAAAAACAAATGCATAACACCTCTAATTTTTCTGGATGTTATATTCTTACAGTCCATGAAAATGGAGTAGAACGGCTCTACTACAATTTCAAGATTTTGCCACTGGATTTCCTGTGGCTTTTCAGGTGTGTTGGCAGCACAGCATGAAGAAAGCCAGCACAGTCCACCCATCCTTGCTGTTCTGTGAGCCATGCAGTCCTCAGGCCTATTCAATTTCCTCATTGCTTCTACTTAGAGGGGAGAGAGTCGGAATTACAGCTGCTTACTGCTCAAACGGAGCGAAATCCTTCTGGACACGTGTGTAGGGCGAGGCATAATGTGGCATTAAGGGGTGGCATTTGCCTTCCACCAGTGCATCTTGGAGCTGGGGACTGAGGTGCATCAGCATGGAATTTCTCATTAGCTACCACACTGCTGCTGTTGTGTTTGGGCTTACAGCATTGCAGGAAAACATGTTTGGTTTAATATTTTTTTAATAAGGTTTTTACCTGCAATATTTAAGAGACTCTCTTCACATCAGTCATTCAGAGGGAGCATGGCAGCTGGTGTAAAGGTGGGCTTGAGCTGAGGAGAGAAGAAGTGGGTCAGTTTGCTGATCCGAGCTGGAGGCGTTCTGGGGAGGGATTTTGCATGAATTTGGGTTGTCCAAATGAACTTTGCAAATCAAACAAGAAGACTAGACAATCAGATTACCAAATATACCTGTTTCTCTGAAAAGAGTGCCGCAGTCATTCAGCTGGAAAAGCAGAACCCTGAAGTTTTATTAAGCATGAATGACATTAAGTGTTGGCGTAAACCACAGGGTGAGTCAGTGCTCTTACAGTGAAGCATTATGTCCATCTTGTAGTCATATGATAGAGAAGGAATGCTCCTCACAGCACACACAGAAATTACTTGTCTTGGCAGCACCAGCAAACACACAGCCCCAAGACATTTCTGTGTAATAATTTCCCTAGCAAAGGAACACAAACTATGACTGAAGCTTTTCCTGACCTTAGAAGTGCCAGTTGGTCAAAGCTGACCTACTTTGGATTTCCATTTTCAATTGCTTTAACTAATAGCTGGGGTACTTTTGTTCTGTGACACTGTTTTTAGGTTTGTTTTGTGGGGTGTTTTTGATCCAGGGTGGAACACCAGATCAAGGATAAGGTTTTCAAGTATGGAGGGGGATAACTAGAGAAGAATTTTCCTTTGCAGATTACATGTTTTCTAATAGCATGTTCATTTGCTACTGAATTTACTCTAAATCTGGCAGACAACACATTTCCTTTTTTACCCATGATAGATTTTTATGAATCCTACTATCTGTGAGTGATTTCTTAAGTAAAGGAGAAGAAGGGATTACCTTAATTGTTTGTGTCATCATGGAGTGCCTTAGTCAACAGCATTATACAAACGCCAAACTAGGAACTTGTATTTTTTTTCTACAGCTTTAAAGCATGCTGAGAAGAAATATTATTTATTCTTTACAAAAGGCAAGATTCAATGTAGCCTACTCTGTACAGTGCAAAGTAGAGTCAACCTACTTTTTCTTTTGCTAACCACCCAAGGCAGCTGCAGGCAGTCAGCTTAGCTACAACAACAGGGATTTTCAGAGTGCTACAAAACTCCCTCCCTGGCTAGAGACAGAAGTCAGAGCTGAATTCCTCATCCTTCTGGGTGGAACTTCTGCAATTATCCAAGGGAATTTCTATGCAACACTACTATTTTGCCTTTGGAAAGAAGAATATTTATGCTTTGGGTATGAGACTTGTTCACTATCCCCTTGCCTCTCACACATCTATGCTGGGATTTCATTTATCAAAGGTCAGCCTTCCTCTCACTAACTGACACTGGAGCTGAAGGACACTACAGGGATATGCTGCACAGTGAACAAGGTGCAAATTTCCTAGGAATTTTGGATCCCTTTTAAGGGGCACATCCTTCTTGGCCTCATGCCAATGAGTTTCTTCTTTCAAAAACATACCATTTTCCCCAACCAACCTCGTCAGTTGTGACTGAATAATTTCTTTCCCATTCTTCCTCCATAGTTTTTGATAATCAGAAGGCACTCCATAAATTTAGACATATTTTTCATATTTAGACATACATCCTCCTGCATAGCAGTGGCATGGTTTTCCCAAACACAGAGCAGAGCCAGACATAAAGCCCAACACCTACCTACCACCATAAATGCTGGACAAATATGGCTTGTTTTAGTGCAAATAGACTATTATGTATATAAGCCTGGCATCTGAGCATGAAAATCACATGAGCTGGCAAAATACAGGTAGGGCTGTCATCTAGTACAGGCCTAGAGACACTGCAAAAAGTGTGCACCACTGGTCTCCTTTAAATGGAAATCTCAGTTACCTTGAGCAACACTGGAAGTCGCTGTACAAGTATTCATGTTTGTAGTATGCTTTGTACATGCTAGGAGTCAGAGAAGGACTTGGATCCTGGCCATCAGTGCAGAAACTCCCTGCCACAAGTGGAGCATTGAGATATTAAAGGTGCATAAGTCCCCAAATGATGGTTTCTCTGCATCCTTACTGTCCACCTTGCAATTGCTGCCAGGGAGACAAGAATATTATTGGGTGCTGTTAACAGGTCGAAGTGGAGCCATCATCCTTACCAAGCGTACCAGCTCTCCCCAAAGGTGGGTTTCTGCAAAGAAAGAAAATCCACTTTCATTCACAGGGAGCTGCAGTAAGCACAGGCAAGCTAGGGCTGTGCTTCAGGCCCAGAAGACAGTTTTGTCATAACTCTAGATCATAATATTACGATGGATACTTAGGCAAGATACCTTCAGAGTGGTGCTAAATTAGATGTCATCTTGCAGTTTCCTGTCTGATAGCACTAAACCCACGTGCAATTTTACCAGGTATAAATTCAGAAATTAAGGGATGCAGACCAATTTACACCAGTTGAAGAAAACTGGTGTAAACGCCTTTTTCAAAAATCTTTACCTTTCTCTAAATTATGCATAAAGTTATAAAACAATAACTGTTTTTGCTTTATCCCTGTGGAGATAGAGACTTTTCAGCAAGTCTCGACAAATCTAGGATCTTTAGAATAGCATGGGAAGAGATCTTAAGGGCTTGATTTAGAAATAGTTTATTTCTAGTGTTTCCTTTGCAAGGATGGAGAAAATGGTAAAGAGAAGGTGCAATGCTTCCCAAAATATGATTTTTGACTGGTTTTGGCTTTATTTAGCATGGATACTGTGTCAGACCAGATGACACCAATGCAGCATTCACCATGCTAGCAGAGACTGGTTTGTTTCTATTG